GAGTGGTCGATCTTAGTTATGGTTCCATATTATCTTCAGGGTGAATAAGGCAGGTTGAAGTTCTAATTCTGGTTATATTACTGCATGACTGAAAGCCTTTGATATAATATTTGCCTGCCAAGATCACAGACTGCTAGCTTTGGAAGGCCATAGCATATCAAGCACATGGACATGGATGCATGCGTGATCACTCTCCATTGGTGCATGGTGAGGAATGAGGGATGAGGATAACATGTAGAAATTGCATGTACGAGAGAGAAAGAGAGAGAGAAAGAGAGAGAGAGATCAACACAAAAAGAAATGCAGTGACAGAGAGAGAATCAAATGGAGAGAGACCAAGATAGATCAAACACAGAGACAGAGATTGAGACAGAAAGAGGGATGTAGAATCAGAGATGAAAAGACAGTGACAAAGACAGAGAGACAGATGAAGAGAAAGACAGATGAGACAGAGGGGGGTACAGACTGAGATGAACAGAGAGAGGAGAGAAAATATATATAATATAATATATAATATATATAATTTATTCAATTCAAGGAATGACCCTTAATTGTAAGATTTTTGCCCTCCTTTTGTGGGTTAAATTATGTTAGGAGATGATGGTAAAAGATGACATGGTTAATATTTTATCAAAGTATAAGTTATTAGGACTGGAGAGATGGCTCTGCTGTTAAGAGCACCGACTGCACAACCTTGAAGACCTGAGTTCTGATTTCCACACTCATAACTAGCTGAGAGTGACCTTGTATGAGCCTGTAACCCAAGAGCTGTAGGGGAGGAGCCAGAAGGATTGCTGCAGCTTGCTGATTGCCAGCCTAGCAGAAAACCATGAGTTCCAGGTTCAGTCAGAAACTCCGCCTCAAAGGATAAGATGAGGAGTGATAGAGGAGGACACCCAAGGCCCTCCTCTGGCTTCTGCACACCTGCATACACACATGCACATATACCACACTCACACACATACACACGCTCACAAGAATTAGAAAAGAAGCAGTTTCTAACACACACACACACGCACACACACACTAACACACACACTCAAATGTTTTTAAACATTTTGCTAATGGCTGAAAGCCAAATGTGGTACACTATGCATTGGCACAGCTTCTCACCCAGTGCAGGAAGCTCTTTCAGTGCTGGGAGTCACTATCTTTGGAGCGAAGCCTGACTCATTTCTGAATGTTTCTCATTATTAGAGAATTCTTTGTTATACTGAAGACTGGCTTCCTCTAACACTACAATCACTCTTCATCCTACTTTCTTGACTACTGTAGACCTCTTTCATAGTCCCTTCATATATTTGAAGGTCTAATGTGAGAGAAAAGGATCTTGTTGCTTTAGGCAATAGAGTCCTAACCCTATGGCCAGTGGGTAGTTAAAAAGGACAAGGCGGATGCAGCTCTGGCTTCCTCTACCATGTCTTCTATCTCCAAGCCCACTTAACACATTAAAGCAGCACAATAACAGCTAGTGCTCAGTGAGTGTTTGTTTTGTGTGGGCACTAGTCTAAGCACCTTAGTATTGAGTTATGCAATTCTCAAAACCACCTGCAGAGGTAGAGCTTTTATTAGTCCTATTTTACATGTGAAAATACAGGCAAAAAAAAGTTAAAGAACTTGCTGCTGGTCAAGTTGGGTTAGAAACGTGTAAAGTGTGATTTCAGATTTGAACTCATAGTTTAACCACTAAGCATATTTCTCTCTCTTTTGCTCATCTGTCAAAGTTATTTTATTTGTGTTTCAGTTTTGTTTCTTATTTCTTTTAGAATTGCAAGTGATATATTTGAACATATTCACCTCCCCCCCAACTCCTGAGACTGATTCTCCTTCTTCTCTACTTACTAAATCCTACCCACCTTCCCTGGGATTTTGTCTGATTTGAAATTACACAGGTCTTGTGCATGCTGTCATAACCACTATGAGCTCATATGTGTCCAGAAAATACCCTTTTCCTTATAGTAATATACCACTTCTGGCTCTTACAGTCTTTCTGCCACCTCTTCTGTAGTGATCCCTGAACCTTGGGAAGAGTGTGATATAGGTGCTCCATTTAGGACTGAGCACTCCAGAGTCTCTTTATTTTCTGTACCTTGGCCAGTTTCGGGGCTCTGTGTTAATCACTATCTACTGCCAAAAGTAACTTCTCTCATGAAGATTGAGAGATGCACTAATCTATTGGCATCAGGAATCATTTTAATACTATGTCCTTTTAGCAGAATAATACTAGTAAGGTTCTCCCCTAGGGCCTATGGGTCTTGGCCTTGATAGTGGTGCCAGGTATGGGTTTTATCTTGTGGAGTGTGTCTTAAATCCAATCAGAAAGTGCTTGGTTACACCCAAGGCATTTGTGTCACTATTGCACCAATGGGTACTTCTTCATTATAATATGTAGAACTAATATGAGCTAGTACATGCAGAAGGACAGCATCCATGATTCAGCCAGACCATGTGGCTATTAATTTCACATTTAATGAGTTTGGCAGTAGCTAAACTGCATCCTGGGCTTGTGTTTTACTCAAATGACCCAAGGTCCTCTTGTTGTTCTTCAAACAAATTTGACCCATTCTGGTTTTACAATTGATTTTTGAGTATAAGAGCCAGGTTTTGTGTGTATATACTTGTCAAATCCTTTTCTACAATTTGTAAAGTAAATGGATCTGCATGTGGACTTAGAGTATAATTTGATCGTTTCAATTAATGAGATTGTGGGCAAGTTTTTCCTTTCCAAATTATTTCATTTGTAGTTGTCATATTAGTGTGTAAGAAATAAAAACTGGTCATGGAAAAAAATGGACTTTGTAGTCTGGGTTATCTTTTCAGCTTGTTCAGTGCTTCATAGCAATCTGGATTCTATCCCTCCAGCATAGCCTCTTCCCTTCCCAGCTGTGTATCATATGCACATGGACTTTGCTACATCTTCTAAGTTGCTGGTATCACAGGTGGACAGTCCCAGAGGGCAAGGAGAGTACACACAGTTTCATTTAATTGATTCTAGGACTCCATGCATAAGTTCATGTAGTGCTTGGTAATAATGTGTAAGAATAATACACTGTGGAGCTCACTGACAACCAAGAGCTGGTTCCTGGTGCTCGTTATAGATTCTAGATGGAATTACAGGGTTCATCATCCAGCATTTCGGTGGATGCTTGCTGGGAACCTGACATATGCTGGACACTCTCCTGAGCTCAATGACTCTCAATCTAGTGGCATGGTCTTGTCCATGAGGGACCTGAATGAACTGTAGACCATGATCATGCAGCTAATTAGTAGACAGCCCTAAAAGAAGAGCTTTTGCTTGGAGAGCATCATGGAAAAGAAGGACAGTTTATTTCCATGGGCACATATCACTGTATCTCATGCCTGAATCTCACTGAAATGCTACCTTTTTATAAGATGCTTCACTTGTCTTAATGAAAGGGGAAATTAACAGGGAGTGTGAGAAGGACATCAAACCCCACATTTCCTTACAGAAAACAGAAATAAGAAAACAAGACTTCAGTAACTCCGGGAGTTCTCAGTCCAGGCCTGATCTTTCTTGTCTGATGCTCAGAGCCCTGGATGCACTGGCCCATTATGCTTGCTTGGCACTATTCCTTTCTGAAATGTCCTTCAGAGAAACCTCAACATTGTCCCGGGGCCCTCCATGCTTCCCTGTCTTTGCCTTTGCTCAGATTACCTCCTGTCTTTGGCATGCCCTTCATCTTAGTCAGCTTTCCATACTATAATGAACTATCAGAGATAATCAATTTATAAAGGGAAAAGGTATATTTTAGCTCATAATTTTGAGGTTCCAGTTCCTGGTTGGTTGGTCCTGCTGCATTGGGTCTGTGGCAAGGCAGTGCATCATGGTGGAAGCATGTGGTAGAGTAAAACTGTTCACCCAATGGCTGAAAAGCTGAAGACAAAAAAGGAGAAAACAGGGTTGTACAATCCCCTTCAAGGCCTTTCAATGACCTAAAGACCTCCCAGTAGCCCCTGTCTCTATGGCAACCAAGCTGTTAACACACAGGCCTTTGGGAGACATTTAGATCCAAACCCCCCATCCTCAACATTGTCTCTCACCTTCAACATCCTTTCTCTCCTTCCCACCAGCCGAGTCATGTCTATCCAAGTCTTCCAACTGATGAGTGCTCCAACTCCTGCCAACTTTGTTCTGTTATGGGGAGACAATGCTACCACTGTTTAGCACAAATTTTGCTATAGTTATGTCTTTCCCAGTATTCTTTCATATGGACAGTCTTACTTCTCCAGTGAGGTGGTAGCAACATTTTCCCAACAGGACCGAGGGGTTCTATTCCTACACACTCGGTGAGTGTAGGTCATGGAGTAAACACCTGTAGAATATATTCTACTGGTTAAAAACTGCTCTGTCTCAGAAAGAGAATTAAAAATAGTTAGGCTTTTAATTGTTCCATCTTGTCCCCATCATTCTTCTCTACACACATTTTCCTTTTTGCCCAATTGGGACTCTTCACTCTTAAGTTCCTCCTGTGGCAACACTTATTTTCCCACATGAAAAACAGGGTCAGTTTTCCTTGCTTGCACTGTACAAACATCTCTGCAAAAGGTTAGAATGCAACCTCTCAAAAGGGCTTTCAGCTCTGTCCCCATGCATAGGGTCTTCCGCCAGGTGAGAAGCTCTAGTAAATGGTTATTGCTTTGGACAGCTTGGGGCATTCAGCCACCACATACTCTTTTTTCTCTGGGTTTCCTGTAGGGAAAGAGCTGAAAATCAAAAGAAATGAGGCATGCAGGAGGTGAAGGAGGAAGTGATCCTGTCTCTGTCCTGGTTAGCGCTTAAAAAAAAAAAAAAAACATGCTTATTCTACAGTTGGAGTCTTTGGCAAAGGAACTTTCCCTTCAGCACTGTAGGCACAGGTCTGCTACCTGCAGCTTTGCTTTGAGCAGGTCCACCTCTGGGTCTACTCCCATGCCCATCTTGACTGTCTCCCTGAACAGAATCTTATCAAATCTATAAAGATGTTCCCTTTTATTGGCAGGTGAAGTCTGTGAGACTTTAAGGCTTTCTGTCCTCCATGCTGCTAACTAGAGAAGGAGCCGTGAACTGTAAGTAACTTTAATTGGCATTTTCCATACTGACTCAATAAGGTTATGGGTTCAAGACCAGCTCTGAACCTGATCTTTAACAGCTGCAGATTGTACAAAAGAAACACTGCACAATGGGCTAGTCACAACATAAAATACAATGGAGCTCTAATTAGATTATGTCTGAATGTGACGAAGAGGCTCTATAGTATGACATGCTATTTAATTAGAGTGTATTGATTGGACATAAAGGTGGACTTGATATGTTACATGTGTCATGAGTGCTAGCGGGAGAAACTCCTGAGTTTGCAAGGCTGACTCCTGAGAGCTAAGCTGGGTGCCAGCAAAGGAGGAAGCAGTGATATTAGGCCCTAAGCAGGGCCAAGGTTTTGCCCACTCTTGCTTTTTACAACTGGTTATTTCTAGGGAGGTGTGAAGGAGAAGGAAATACTGTTGATCACTTCCCTTCCATCAGCACAATGATAGTTCCATATTATACTGAGGTCCATGGGCTCATGTTGGTGTGCACCACCTGGCAAAAGTCTGGCCAACCAGTACGACCTGGCCAAGGTCCAGCATCCTTTGTGGAGCCCTTCTTGATAACCCCAGTTAGACATGGCCTCTCCCTTCTAGGATTCTGCTGCATTGCCACATTGCCTGCTCCTCTAGCCTATGCTCACAGATGTGATGCATGAGCTCTTGGCAGGGCAGATCTGGAACTCACCCTCATCCGAGTTGTCACCTGGTAACAACAGTAGCCAGGTGACTGGGTTACCCTGGTCCAACATGACTTGCTTCTGGGGTTACCTGAGGTTAAGCTGCTGCTGCTGCTGCTGCTGCTGCTGCTGCTGCTGCTGCTGCGACTTTGATAGTACATTGGCTTTCAACCAGTTCATGGAATTATAAATGATTAACCGTTATCAGTGCACATCTTCACCTCTGTGTAAAAATAGATTGACTGTAATGAGTATTTGAATAAATCATAAGAATGGCCGCCTTGCAATGGGGTAACATCCTGCCGATGGCTGCCCGGTGAGTGAGCAGGGCGCCAGCCCTCTGCCTAATGGCCTGAAATTCAGTGCTGGTTGCCTGGGTGAGTGATTGACGGACCTCTGCTCCCAGGGCACCTCCTCTGAAGCCCTGGCTCTGGAGTGGTTGGAGTTCCAGGCAGGAGGGGCCGGGAAGGGTATCTCCCTCCATCCTGTTCCAGGAAAGCCTACCTAGAGCTGGGGCTGAGGTGGGGTGGGGAGCTGGAGTAGAAGAAAATGACCTCTGTAAGAATCCATGCCTCCTCTCACCAGAGGTTAGAGGGACCTCGGAAGTCAAGTATAAGGAGCAAGTTGAGTGTGAACCTTAATGATTGCTGAGAGTGGGGGAGATATTGATCTGTAGCTTTCCTCCCCACTAGAGGACAGCCAGGCATTGTAGGCTACCCACACCCAGGGAAAGCTCCCTCAAAGGGACACTCTTAGACCTGAGATGAAGAACCCCAAGAGCAGGGCTCTGTTATGGGCAGAAGTCAAATGTCTTTTAGGGAGTGGCTTGCCAAAGTCACCTCAGGAATGACGATTCTGCCTTTCAGTGAGGGAGGGCGAAGAGGAAGGGCAGCAGGCTCAGAGTGACAGGGAACCAGGTGAGGAAGAAAAAGAACGTCTGAGGTTTCAGAGGGAAGACCAATAATGGCTGGATTTGAGTGGGAAGTAATAAATATTCCAATTTAATTCTAGTGCTGTCTCAGTTTGTGGATTGTGCAACAGTTTGACCCACAAACACAGTGGCTGAATGTTTATCCTGTTCGTATGTTCTGTGAGTCATGAATTTATACAGGGCAGGGTGAGGACAACTTGTCTCTGTTCTATTGGGTCTTGGATTTCAGTTGGAGCAACTTAAAAGCAGGGTGGTGGGATCATCATAGGTTTGCTCACTCATAATTTTGGGCTTTGAAGCTGGCTCTTGGCTGAGACGTGTCAGTTCGACCCTTGTGGCCTCTCTGTGTGGCCTTGGCTTCCTAATTCCAAAGGGAAGCAACCTAGGAGAGAGCAAAAGCCAGATGGAAGCCTCACTACCTTTCATGATCTGCCTCTGAAAGCTGAACAGCAATCCCATACTGCATTCTGTCCATCAGCGCAGGTACAGAGGTCAGTGACCCTCACTGCCTCTAAATACAGTGTCAACATCACATTGAAAAAAAAGACAAGAGTAATGAGGTGTGTGTGTGTGTGTGTGTGTGTGTGTGTGTGTGTGTGTGTATACAATCATCCTTCCATATCTGCAGGAGATGTTTCTGGACTCCCTACATACCAAAATCTGAAGATGCTGATACAGATACTGGCAGGCATAGTATTTTCATGTAACCTATATGCATTCTCCCATATACTTTAAATTATCTCTAGATTACATGTAAGACCAAATACAATGTAGATGCTGTGTAAATAGTTGTTAATATTGTATTGTATAGGGAATGATAGCAAGAATAAATGCCTTTTTGTGTTCAGTACAGATGCAACTTTATTTGTCAAGTATCCCATTTGTGATTAGCGGACTGTGTGCTATGCTGCAGATATGAAGGCTTCTGCATGTTGCTGCACCCATCTTTGGAGATCACAATTTACTACAACTTATGGTGGGCTGGCACAACTGGCCTTACCTGTTTCCCAGAAAAATTGAAATTGACCCTGCCGGGGGAATGATATATTTTTCCTGTGTCCTATGGCCCAAAGATCTATGATAGCTGTATTTTTGGTTTTGAATGAGTGAGTTTATTAAGTATATAGTAAGCAAAAGATAAAAGAATAAACTGCCAGTAGGAGATAGACAGCAAAACATCATCAAATCAAGTGCTCAAAACATCCAGGAGAGATGACTAGAGAATCTCAGCTGAGAGAGGAAATAAAAGGTAACAACATCAAATCAGGGGCTTATAAACACCCAGCAGGAACTGCCTGGGAAAGCTCCATTGAGGCAGGCAGTTGGAGTTCTCAACTGAAAGAGTCCCCAGCAGAGCAAAGTGTCACCTCAGGTGAGACTTCCAAGTAAAAGAAGAAATAATAGCAGAGGCAACATCATCAAAACAGGTACTTACTGACAATCACCCAGCAGAAACTGACTGGGGAGGTTGAGGCAGCCCGCGGGAGCTCCTGATTGAGCTTTCTCTCCTGATTGAACTTTCCATGACTGAACTTCCAGCTTCCTGTTCTCATAGCAAGCATCTTTATTTTTTCTTTTTCTCTTTTTGAGACAGGGTCTCCCTGTAGTCCCAGCTACCCTGGAACTCACTAAACCAGGCTGACCTTGAACTCACAGAGATCTGCCTTCCTCTCCCTCCTGAGTGCTGGGATTAAAGGCGGGCACAATGCCCCCCCCCCACCCCCAGCAAGCATTTTTATACTACGGGATAAACAATAGTAGTAGTTTACCTTCTACTCTATTTTGTTCCAAAGGCACATTGTTTTTAATACCCTTAGCCTCTGGCTGTTTTCTCCTATCCCTTACAGAACCAGCAGGCCAGCCTGACTCAAGATAGTGGGTTTTGGAGGATACCTGACATAGACATGTTGGGTCTGAAGTGGGGTGAAGGCAACCTAGTTCCAGAGTCAGCTGTTTAGTGATCTTAAACAGCACATGACAATTTAAATAATATAACATATATTATAACCTGGAAAGAAATCCCAGCTTTGGATAAATCCAATACTCCATTGACTAAGAGTGTCTTAAGTAGAAAGAGTTCCTCAAGGCCAAGCTCAACTTCTTCCTAGGCAGTATGTGGTGGTGTTTGGAGGTCCTGTGCTGGGAGAAACCAGGATCTCATGATCCATCTCAGAGAGTGGGTCCAGTTTATAACCTACAGCTTGAATCTTAGATCTAAAGGTTTCTAGACCTGTGACCAAAGACTAAGGCTGGACCCTTTAAGGGCATTGCATATCTCTGTTACCATGGGCATAAAAGCTAGGGCAGGTTCCAGCTAAAGGTCAGGGCTTGAAAGACTACAGGGAGCTTGCTGGTTGGAAAATTCTGGACATCCCTTGCTCTCCGGTCCTCCAAGCCCTCTGCTGGTCTTCTTTCCCTCTGCCACATACTCTGGTCTAGAAACCTGTACCTTAAGGAACAACCCTTCTTTCCATTTTTATGTTCTTAATATATATGCTGCTAGATTCTGAAGAGAATCTGAGTGGCCTGGCTGTCTTCTTGTGACTTAAGGGATAAAAACAAAACTCAAGTCACCAAAGAGTAGAAACAGAATCAGTTCATCTTACAAGGCCAGAGACCTTAGTATGGCTAGTGCCAGAAGGTAGCAAGCAAGAAAGGGTTAAGTGGCCTTAATCTTGATGAAATTTGGTGCTGAGGTTTGGCTTTCTTATACATCAGGTCAAAATTAGTATTAGTAACCAACACTTACTGAGCACTGTTACATACTGGGCACTATGCTAAGCCCTTGGGGTGCATCTTCTTATTGTACCCTACTTTATGGGATTCTGCTATTATATCTCTTTGTACAAAAGAAGAGAAGACCCAGGGAACAAGAGAAATGCCATAGGAAGGAAGTTTGTTGCTGAAATTCCACTTAGAACTCCCTATTATCAAGACTTAACCTACTTCATTATTTGACCAATGCACACTGTATGCATGTGTAGAAATATCACACAGAACCCCTTGCATATGTATGGATTATTATGTTAATAAGAATATAATTTTGAAAAGATGGAAAAAAGAGTCTCAGTTCGCTCTCCTATAAAATAGGAATGTCTGATGACATCATCCTCAATGTTACCTTCAGTACTCAGATTTTAAATGTGCAGAGAAGACTCTGGGAAGTAGCTTAAGTATAGTTAAAGTGGGCCTACTTTATGGAGATGGGAGGGTATGAAAGTATGGAATGAGTTCCTGTTCTTTCCCCTTTTGTGAAGTTTAGGTCAGGAAACCATTGTTTAATTTGGGCAGTTGAAGGAAACAGAATGATTCATTTTCCAGGACTACTGTGGGAAATCTAGAGCCATTCCTGGCATGCAGTAGGTGCTTAATGA